TCAGCATATACTCTGTACTTGCATTATAAATTTGGTGTTCTCAGTATTTAAATTGAGGCTAATATTTCAGTAATTTTATGAAATCCCTGGGGGTAACAGGGATTTCATGAAATCACTGATTCTTTTAGGGATTAGGTGAAATCCCTGGTTTCACACACTCCCTGTAACATTGAAATTAGATGAATTGAAATGAATTGAGGAGATGAATTGAAAGGATTTGAATAGATGAGCTGAGATGACATGAAATGGAAATAAGAGAAAAGAATGGAAAAGAAAGAAAACGAAATGAAAATATAATAAAAAAGAAACGATTTGAAAAAAATGACATGAAATGAAATGAAAAGATGAAATCAAATGAAATCAAATGAAGAGATGAAATGAAACGAATTGGAGAAATGATTTGAAATGAATTAATGAGATTTATTGAAATGAACTAAAGATTTGAATTGTAATGAATTGTAGAAATGAAAAGAAATCAAATGGAGAGATGAAATGAATTAATGAGATTAATTGAAATGAATTCAATGAATTGTAGAAATTAAATGAAATCAAATCAAATGAAAAAATAAAATAAAAGAGATGAAAAGAAAAGAAATGAAATGACGAGAAATGACCCGTAAATGAAATCAAATTAAAATAAGTGAGCAGACAAACAAACAAATAAATAAGGGTGGTTTGATAAAAAAAATTAAAAGTCACTGGTAACATAACGATAACACGGCTGCATGCACACGCTTAGGATACGTAAACATATAAAAAGGAAACTACACACAATGCTATTCAACCACTGCACCTAGTGACGCTTTGTCGTGACCTTTGATATCGCTGTAGTAATTGTTTGATCGGCATTCTAGAAGTTGGTGAGTCAACAAATGAAACATACAACTTAATGGATGACAACTTCTGGTTTATTTGCGTTGAGCGACGTTTCGATGTAGATTCTTACATCGTTATCAAGCTAAAGGTGAGTACAACCAAATGGTGAGGAGCATATATACATGGTATGTTGTTATAAGCAGCAGATTAACATTAACAACAGCATGTAATAGAAATAACAAGTGGTACATAATTGGAAGAAGCCAGTAGGGAACTAAAAACAACAAACAGCACTAGTGATGAAGCCAATAAACAGGGGGATTAAGTAGTAACAACAAATAGACAGGGTGCTATTGATGGTCTATAGCTTGATTAGTTCTTCATAGGTTGATGGGATGTAGTATCCTTGGTCACGGTTGATCAAAGGTTTGTGGCGGCGGATTTCGATGGTTTCCAACAGTTTTCTTTTTGTGAAGTCCTGATTATTGGTTGATAGGATTTCGAATTCGTCAAACTTGATTTGATGGGTAGGGAACTTTTGCTGGTGATCTGAGAGGACTGATTTGACGTGTTTACTTGCCGTCCATTGAAAGTTCCCATTTTATGCCGTAACTTGTACTGATTTGTAAACGTCAAATATATAATATTTCTTTCACACGTAAAGATGTCTTGGTCACCTTGTTTCAACAGGGGCGGTGGGGTAGCCTAGTTGTTAAAGCGTTTGCTCATCACGCCGAAGACCCGGGTTCGATTCCCCATGTGGGTACAGTGCGTGAAGCCCATTTCTTGGGTCCCCATCGTGATATTGCTGGAATATTGCTGAAAGCAATGAAACTCAACTCACTCACTCTTATTTTAACTTGGAAATGGACAGGTAACAACGCAATGGAGGCGAAACCATTTATTCACTGACAATGTCAAATACAATGTTGAACATACTACCTAAACCATTAGCTTACAGTAAACGTATGACACAAACGACAGGTGAAATAGAGTTAGAGAACATGACATATGGTGATGTTATTGTTGCAGTAGAACACGGTCACATCTATATGCTAGTGAAATGACTGAAAAACAAAATGTTCAGTCTCATCAATATGCTAGAGTAATGATTGAAAAATAAAATGTTCAGTCACATCAATATGCTAGTGAAATGATTGAAAAATGGAATAAAATGTTCAGTCTCATCAATATGCTAGTGTAATGATTGAAAAAATAGAAATAAATGTTCAGTCACATCAATATGCTAGTGAAACGATTGAAAAATAGAATATAATGTTCAGTCTCATCAATATGCTAGTGAAAAAATTGAAAAATAGAATAAAATGTTCAGTCTCATCAATATGCTAGTGTAATGATTGAAAAATAGAAATAAATGTTCAATCACATCAATATGCTAGTGAAATGATTGAAAAATATAAAATCTTCAGTCTCATCAATATGCTAGTGAAATGATTGAAAAATAGAATAAAATGTTTAGTCTCATCAATATGCTAGTGAAATGATTGAAAAATAGAATAAAATGTTTAGTCTCATCAATATGCTAGTGAAATGATTGAAAAATACAAAGTAAAATGTTCAGTCTCATCAATATGCTAGTGAAATGATTGAAAAATAGAAATAAATGTTCAATCACATCAATATGCTAGTGAAATGATTGGAAAATAAAGTAAAATGTTCAGTCACATCAATATGCTAGTGAAATGATTGAAAAATAGAATAAAATGTTCAGTCTCATCAATATGCTAGTGAAATGATTGAAAAATAGAATAAAATGTTTAGTCTCATCAATATGCTAGTGAAATGATTGAAAAATAGAAATAAATGTTCAGTCTCATCAATATGCTAGTGTAATGATTGAAAAATAGAATAAAATGTTCAGTCTCATCAATATGCTAGTGAAATGATTGAAAAATAGAATAAAATGTTTAGTCTCATCAATATGCTAGTGAAATGATTGAAAAATACAAAGTAAAATGTTCAGTCGCATCAATATGCTAGTGAAATGATTGAAAAATAGAATAAAATGTTCAGTCTCATCAATATGCTAGTGTAATGATTGAAAAATAGAAATAAATGTTCAGTCACATCAATATGCTAGTGAAATGATTGAAAAATAGAATAAAATGTTCAATCTCAACAATATGCTAGTGAAATGATTGAAAACTAGAATAAAATGTTCAGTCTCATCAATATGCTAGTGAAATGATTGAAAACTAAAATGTTCAGTCACATCAATTGATATGCTAGGGTAATGGTTGAAAACTAAAATACAATGTTCAGTCACATCAATATGCTAGTGAAATGATTGAAAAATATAAAATCTTCAGTCTCATCAATATGCTAGTGAAATGATTGAAAAATAGAATAAAATGTTCAGTCTCATCAATATGCTAGTGAAATGATTGAAAAATAGAATAAAATGTTTAGTCTCATCAATATGCTAGTGAAATGATTGAAAAATACAAAGTAAAATGTTCAGTCTCATCAATATGCTAGTGTAATGATTGAAAAATAGAAATAAATGTTCAATCACATCAATATGCTAGTGAAATGATTGAAAAATATAAAATCTTCAGTCTCATCAATATGCTAGTGAAATGATTGAAAAATAGAATAAAATGTTCAGTCTCATCAATATGCTAGTGAAATGATTGAAAAATAGAATAAAATGTTTAGTCTCATCAATATGCTAGTGAAATGATTGAAAAATACAAAGTAAAATGTTCAGTCTCATCAATATGCTAGTGAAATGATTGAAAAATAGAAATAAATGTTCAATCACATCAATATGCTAGTGAAATGATTGGAAAATAAAGTAAAATGTTCAGTCACATCAATATGCTAGTGAAATGATTGAAAAATAGAATAAAATGTTCAGTCTCATCAATATGCTAGTGAAATGATTGAAAAATAGAATAAAATGTTTAGTCTCATCAATATGCTAGTGAAATGATTGAAAAATAGAAATAAATGTTCAGTCTCATCAATATGCTAGTGTAATGATTGAAAAATAGAATAAAATGTTCAGTCTCATCAATATGCTAGTGAAATGATTGAAAAATAGAATAAAATGTTTAGTCTCATCAATATGCTAGTGAAATGATTGAAAAATACAAAGTAAAATGTTCAGTCGCATCAATATGCTAGTGAAATGATTGAAAAATAGAATAAAATGTTCAGTCTCATCAATATGCTAGTGTAATGATTGAAAAATAGAAATAAATGTTCAGTCACATCAATATGCTAGTGAAATGATTGAAAAATAGAATAAAATGTTCAATCTCAACAATATGCTAGTGAAATGATTGAAAACTAGAATAAAATGTTCAGTCTCATCAATATGCTAGTGAAATGATTGAAAACTAAAATGTTCAGTCACATCAATTGATATGCTAGGGTAATGGTTGAAAACTAAAATACAATGTTCAGTCACATCAATATGCTAGTGAAATGGTTGAAACATACAATATAATTCTCAGGGTACATACAAACAATAATCAATTACATTAACTGCCGGCAAAGAGCGTATGTAGATGGTGGCTACAAATCAAACAGATATAAAATGCCTATTCGACAGTGATATATTTTATCACAGGTATCATAGTTAAGATTTAGACCTTAGATTTGTAGTGCTTCGGTGACTGTTCTCAGCCGAGTAAATCAAATGTAAGTTTGTGGTGAAATCAAGTTTTCAAGGGTATACATTTTTTGCTTGTAGTTTTTATAGGGTAGTATTGAGTACAGGCAGAGTATCAAACCGTGGAATATGTAACATTATGCTATTAAAAAGTGGTTACACTTAACGTAAATAATACAACTAACAATATATTCATAGGATCAGTACTTCTTTCATATGAGTACAACATTACATAAAGACTGGCAAAATATATTTAGTAAATCTCTTCAATACATTAGAAACAAGATTTGAAGCTTTGCATAGCTGGAAAACATATAACCAATAGCCTTTGCATAAATTTAAGAAGAAGACTATTCCTTAAGCTAGAACAAAGAGGACATTCACGACAGCTATGAGTGAGTGAGTAACTTTAATTTAACGCCTCACTCAACAATATTCCAGCTATATTACGGCGGTCTGTAAATAATCGAGTCTGGACCAGACAATCCAGTGATCAACAGCATGAGCGTCGATCTGGGTAATTGGGAACCGATGACACGTGTCAACCAAGCCAGCGAGTCTGACCAGCCGATCCCATTAGTCGTCTCTTACGACAAGCATGGGTTACTGAAGGTTCATTCTAACCCCGGATCTTCACGGTTCCAAGACAGCTATGATACTCAGAATCAACATATAGTAACATTCAACATGGTCAGATTCATTTTATGTGTATACTCCCCTTTACTCTGTAGTGTGTTGGGGGTAGTATTGAGTACATCTGACTATCAAACAGTGACACATGTAACGCACATTATTATGTATAAAATGATTACACTATATAAAAACAACTAACAATGTATTCATAGTTTCAACACTTCCTGACATGGGCTTCTCACATTGTACCCGTGTAAGGAAACGAACCCGGGGTTTCCGTTTTAACCACAAAGCTACCCCATCAGTAAGGTAACACATTGTGGCCAGCCGATCCTCAGTTGAGTCAGCTCTCACAATGAACAGGTGTTGAGGTCCAACTCTGGTTAAGGATTCAGGCACTAGTAAATCATACATGATTTCTGTATCACACTTTCTGGTTTTCGTGGACCCCATCACACTTGTGAAATGGTCAGTCATGGATGATATTATCGGGAAGCTGTAAACATTTCTTGGAACCATATTTGAGTGATTCAGTGAGTGAGTGTATAATAAACACTTACTACTTAGACTTTAGAAAGAATTCACGTTCTTGAACGAATGAACAAAATCTCAAAACATCCACATTAAGGTTCCTCAGAATACTGGGTCGTCGATTCCTCAATGTCGTTCACTCAAAGGCCTCCTCAATCCATTTTTCGAAGGGCAGTCGAACCAATCTGTTCCCTACAATTTTATATGATTCGGGTCCTTCAGGGTCGTAGAACACACAGCCATTGACATGTCCCACAGCGATCTCTATAACGCAGCCTCCAGTTTCCGTATCTTTGGATGATGCTATGTCAAACACACCAAAGTCTTGAAGTGAAACCTTTGAATGTTTGTTTGTTTGGAAAAGCAATTTATTTATCAGTGCTTGCATTAGATGATCCTTCATACGCTTTTGTAAATCCAGAGGAATCTCATCAAATTTGAGCTTGGGCATAACAACGTACATGGTTCCGCCGCTTTTCTTCTTTGAGAGGGCCGATATATGTTCAGGGACAGATAGTCCAGTCATGTCACCCACTAGGGAATGCAAGAGCTCATGTTCCAAAGGAGGCACGGCATAGCCTTTATGACAATACAACCTCAAAGCTCCTAGATTTTGATGTTGGGAGGAAATACCTCTTAAAGCAGGATTTGCACTCTCTGTTGTACGCGAAGAAAACAGGAGGTGCCGGACTTTCTCGTTTGAGGCATTTCCGAATTTGTCCTCAGACAAAGACGGGAACTTTGTTTTGTAATCAAGCGTGACAAACATATTTGATGGCTCGACGTCTATTCTGAACATATATTTATTGTTTCTGATCTTTTGTGTTTTGAATACTTCACATGGGTCGACATCCTGCTTCAGGATTGAACCAAATATTCGCTTAATAGATTCATGAAAATCCCCGGACTGAGATGTGTTGAATCCATGTACTATAAGAACACCACCATGGGAATTTCTAAAAGCAGTCAGTATCTTAGAGAATTGAAACTTATAATGGGATGCCAAATCAGGGTTCCAATGAATGAAGAATACGTTTTCCAACGTTGACAGATCATCTTCACAATCATGATGCACACCCAAGCATACTTGACAGTCAACTGGGGAAAATATAAACAAAATATCAAAACTACATATAACGTAAATAAGCAGCCTCTCATTTTGCAATTTCTCCTTTGCCAGAACCATTTAGTCACATGAGATATGCCAAACCACTCGGAATGAATCAGATATCTGCCATGTTAATCAGATTCAATATTTACAATTATTATTATTGGTTTTGCGTTATCCTGATTGATTAGATAGGATTGTTTAATTTGTGTACCTGATAATAGCGCACTAAGAGTAAAAAATCATTTCATGTTTTTTTTCTTCTGAGAAATGAGATTAACAAACCTTTCAGCATGATCTATTAAACGATTCCAAAGAGTCACATCCGTGTATCCATTTATACGAATGCTTTTGAGCATTAAACAAAAATGTTATCTCGAACACTTAAACCTTGCTTATCCGGACAATTGCATGTTCTGAAATATTGCCCGGATTAACGAATTTCCAGAAGCCTGAATGACCTACGTCTAAGCTTCGCTAACATAATTCAGTTGAGAATAGATATCAGAAACTAAGACATAGTAATAATATAATTAGAATTTCATCTGTAAGCACTTACGAGAAACACGAGCAACTCCATCACTCTCATTACTCAAGGTCTTTATAATACAAAGCATTCTACAACATGGCAAAGCTGTAAGCATGATTAACGGTACCACAAACATGACATAAATTTACATTGACATAACCCTGCATAAAGTTAAAGTTTTAACAGTCATGTTTCCGTTTACCAGAAACGGTCTGAAAGCACCCCAGGCACTCAACCATTTTGCATCCTGAACGTTTTAGGCCTGGATACCGTCCGGGTATTTTTTATCAACGTCACATTTTTGGAAGTGAATGTCTTCGAATCACCACATATAAAACGTCTGAAAATTGGCATGAATCATTTCACAAATACCATAGGTCTCACTCACAATACTTACGCAAATCAACTTGTGATAGCGGAACTGGGACAGGAACTGCAAATGTGTAAAACGTAACACATTATTTATAGATTGTGTATACTATAGGAAACAGTTAGTTTCAGTCATACCAGTTATGTCTCAGAATGAATTGGACTGTTTCCGGCCACATTTCAAATATAGTTGTGTCATGTTGTAAACAGGAACGATCTTGATTTGTCACTCTGACGTGTCAAATGACAATATCACTCCCCTAAATGTAATGGTTGCTTTATTGCCTTATGTCATAAGGAAATGCAGCCTCAACAACATTCTCTATGCCAATGGAAGAAAACCCGCCACCGTCAAAAACAACAACCCGAAATGTGTCATCAACAAAATTCACTGTGATTGTGGATTCTACATCTTCACATGCACCTAAAAGACAACACAAGAGCATGTGTTCTCAGGCTTTACTCTCTCAGCAAAACTCATACAGAAGTGACATGCGAGATCTAGGTCATGTCTAAAAATAGAACATACTATTTTCGTTAGGACTGATCATAATGTCTGCAACTAATCTAAAGAACTTCTGTTGGATATTACATATCTCCCCTTTTCTTGAGATAATCTCTAAAATATAAAACTTTTAAATTTAATGAAACATTTATCAAAATTCTTGAATTATTAAATAACTAAAATGTTCATTATTTTCTTGAAACTTGAAAACTTAAACTAATCTTATCTGAAACTACCTGATATAGATTCAATCAATTTACTTATAAAATGTTCATTTGAAATTGTCTCTATTGTGTACTACTTTAAACTTATAAAGTCTTTGTCTCTGGTGAGTATCATTTTACACTTTGACTAGATAAACAGTTATTCACATTTTATATCTCTGGTTTCACAGTTCATAGTCTTTCAAGTAGCCTGGTATTTTTTGCGGTCTCACTCTGGTACTACAGTTCGGTGATGTGTGTTTAGTGGTTGTAGTAGATTATCCATTCACAACTCTGGGTTGCTCAAGTTTCTGTAGATTCTCTCCTGGTTAATCTTGTGATGTATTTACCTCTTCACAGCCTGCAGATGATAACACAGTTTTTCTCATCAGACTCATTCTCATGTTTGATTCCTTGTAGAATATCACACAGCTTGTTTTCTAGCACATTGTTGAAGCACTTGAGGTGAGTAGAATTTCTTGTCACTTTTCTCCCATCGGTCACCCTGGCTGCTGTTACAGCTGATCCACAGATGTCTCTAACTTTGTAACACACTGTTTCATAAGCTGTTGACCATTTGTTTGTTTTCTTCTGTTTGAGTAGTACATATTCTCCTACCTTTAAGTCATATTTCCTTGTCTCCTTGTCTGTTTTCTGTTAGGTTTTTTATTCTTTCTTTGTATAGAATCCCTCTTTGTTTGAAAACTGCTGGAATTCATAGGAGTTAAATGGGGGTCCATTGTCACTTTCAATTCTTCTTGGCGTCCAATGATTGGCAAACATTTTCTTCAGTTTGTCTCTGATAGGTTTGAATGTTATAGAGTGTACTCTCTTGACTTCTGGGTATCTCGTTCTCTTGTCTACTGCAACAAGATTATAGTGTCCATCTGGATACGGTCCACCAAAATCTGAGGCGATAGTTTCCCATGGTTTGTCAGGTATTTCCGTCATTTCTACAGGTTCTGGTCGATGTTATTTCTTTGGTTGTTCTTTTTTTTTTCTTTTGTCGTTACTTGACAATCATAACATTTCCCGATGATGTCTTCTACTACTTGATTTATTCTTGTAAACCAATACTTCTCTCTCAGCCTGTTTTTGGTTCTGGTCATGCCGAAGTGTCCTAGACTGTGTGTAGCTTTCACAACCTTTCTCTATAGTGATGTCGGAATCACAATTCTATGCAGTCTGAAAATCAGTCCTGATATGATACTTAAGTCTTCCCTCACCAGATAGAATGGATTGATTTCTTCATCTTTTCTGTAGGATTCCCAATCTCCTTTCGCACTCTCTCCTTAACTTTTCTCAACTGTTCATCACATCTGGTTTCTCTTTTGATGTCATCGAGAATAATGGCATGCTCATTCTGGACAACATCCTTCACCACTCTTTTTGCAGAATCATTACCAGTTGTTGGTACTGGGTGTCCGAGAGAAAGTCTAATGGATCTGCTTCATCTTTCCCTGATTCATACACCAACTCGAAATCCACTTTCTGCATTTCCATTACCCACTTTTCTATCCTTGGTGGCAACGGTGCTGTAGCACGGTTGAATAGGGGTAACAATGGTTTGTGAGCCGTAATTGTCTTGAAGTGTGGTGCACCCAGCAAGTAGATACTGAATCTTTTCTTGGCCCATGCAATAGACAATGCATCTTTTTCTGTTTTGCTGTAACGTTTCTCTGTTTCTGTCATGGTACAGCATATGAAATGAACTGGTTGTAGTCCCTTCTGCGTTCTCTGGAATAATCCTGCTGATAGTCCCTCGTCTGTTCGAACAATTATTGGTTTGGTAGGGTCAAATATGCACTAGTGTCTTGACGTGTGATACTGTTTTTCAGGATTCTGAAAGCTTCTTCCTCAGTCTTCCTCCATCTGAACTTTACATCTTTTTTGGTCAATTCTCTAAACGGGGAAGTCAATGAAGCGTAGCGAGGAATGAAAATTCTCTCAACGGTGCAGTCAATGAAGCGTAGCGAGGAATGAACTTGGACAGTTATCCGATCATTCCCAGAAAACTTCTCACAGCTGTTTTGGATTTTGGTGCTTGACTTTCTTTCACGGCTCTGAACTTCTCTTCAGTCGGTCTAAGTCCATCTTTTGTGAAGAGATATCCATAGAATTCCAGTTATTCCACTCCAAACTTACATTTCTCTCTTGCTCTTTGGAGAACAGTTTCTAACACTTGGTTGCGTTCCTCTAGATTTCTTCCTCCAATCAGAATATCATCTCTCTGGTTTAGACACTTTGAGATATCTCCAAATATTTTGTATATCACCTCATCAAAAAAGATCTTGAGATGCTTTTGCTCCAGACACTAGTCTTTTTGGTCTCATTTTTACCCATGGAGTTGAGAAAGTGGCAATCTCTCTGGGATTTCTGATCTAATTCTGATCTGATCTGATCTGGATTTCTGATCTGATTGATGATATCCTTGTCTCATGTCCATCTTCGAAAAGATTTTGCAGTCTCTGAATTTGTAAGTAAAATGTTCCACCTCTGTAGCTTGCATTATTCGGCTTCTTTTCATATATCTGTTGGGAACTTTCAGATCTACATATGCTCTGACCATGTTGGACTCCAGCTTCTTGGATTCCACGTTGCTGAATCTTGGCTTTGCTTGAACTACTAAAGGTGAGCACCATGTGACAGGTTCAGCTTGCGATACTTCTTTAAACATATCTTCTTTCAGACCCACCTCTAGCCATTTCTTCAATGGTCCTTGTAAGTAATGAGGAACATTATGAGCCTTCTGTGCCACTGGAATGATATCTTCTTCCATATATAATGTTCCATATATCTCTCCGTCATTCTTTATGTCTCTGATACAACCGATCCCTTCGAAAACTTGGTCATACTTGTGTATGATTGCATCAATCTGTTTCTTCTCTGTGCTGTGATTCTGGACAGCTTTTATTTCTAATTCTTCTTCTTTGATCCTGAGGTTGTTCTTCTGAGCTAAAGATCCGTCTTTCCTTATCTCCAGCATTCCTAACTATGTAAGTGTTGTTCTGCTCAAAACTGGAGATGACTTCATTCTGCCTCTTAAAGGTCACATAAACCCTAGGGCGTACAAATACATAAATCACTAACTGGCATCGTTATAAATGAAACCCCGTCATTAAAACTACTCATTTCGACCTTTAATTGACTTAAATCGACCTTTTTGACAACAGTGAACAATTCTCACCCGCGAACGAAATTTCAACCAATGAGAGCGGCGCGCCGTCATATGAGGAATAGCTTTGAGGGCCGATGCAGAATTCATCTACATTTTAGGGGTTAAATGATCTTGTTTACAGGCTTGTATAAACCTGAAATCGTGACAATTGTTGTGGAAAATGAAAACTATATGTTCTCACAATCTACTGTCATTTAATTTTGTCTCCTGCTTTGCCTAGTTTTCCAGTTACAACTTGTTTTCATAGACGATTCTGTCAAAATCGATTGGTGTCGTTAGGCCCTATTTGTATAATGACTGATCCAAATTGATCCCATTTCTGTGTTTTTTTACCTCGATATTTAATCATGTCATGTAAAAATCTGTTTGTATTCTCAAAACAGTGTCGGCCCATAAGTTTTCACATGCAATACAGCAATTAATACTCCCTTGTTGTAACCCGTGTTAGGTGGTATAAACCTACACATGTTATTTGTCATCATTCACTTGATGGTCAGTTAATGAATTTATAACAAGTATAATTAGTGGTAACACACTTAGATTACCCGACAAAGGTTCCCATTTGGCATTTCTTGTGTCTGGAGTAAATATTCAACATTATAAACATCGATCAAAGGATTAACCGATAACACGCTGATTGATTAATTACTTTTATCTTACACAGCGGAATTGTCAAAAGGTAGTGTTTATGTATGTAGATTTACTAATCTATACTGAATACACTCTGTCGTGTCGGTGTCTGCGTAAAAACAACGTCCTTCTTTAAAAGGATTAACCGGCAATACATTGATTGATTGCCCATTATTGGCTAACTAAATTACTGTTTTTAAAGAAAGGCGGACATTATGCAATTAGTTGCCAGGTGTGCTATCTTGGGTGGCCAATGAGACTATACACCAATACCTGAAAAGATTTATCACTTTTCGTATATTAAACTGTTAAAAGACACATCATTTGGAACAGTTTTGTGGATATTGATGGATACATTCCTCGAACAAGGTAATGGCCTGATATTGTTCCTATAACTTTAATCTGTTTTAATTTTAATATTTGCATTTTGTTTTTATTCATTTGTCGTAGCATTCAACAGAATCATTGTTTTCGCCGTGAAGTGTAATGAGACAGACAACATGCACTAGGGTGTGTGTGCGAATTATGATTCACACTGGCAAACTATA